TGGGATTGTATGATCTGGCTCAGGATGGGGATCGCTGGAGGGCTCTTGTGAACATGTTTATGAACCTTCGGGTTCCATAAAACGTTGAGTAGTTCTTGAGTAGCTGCACAATTGGCAGTTTCTCAAGAAGGGCTCAGCTGCTTGAGTAAATAAGTAAGTACTGAGAAATTTTACTCCAAATTATCGGTGTTGATGTGAAACATGACGACCGTTGTCTGATGTTTCTTTCTGTAATTAGAATTAAGATAAACCAAAGCGAAGTCTGCTATATAAACGTGTAGAAGAACAGAGACTGAGGGTGTTTGAGAACAGGATGTTAAGGAGAATATCTGGACCGAAGAGAGATGAAGTGACAGGAGGTTGGAGAAAACTGCATAATTAGGAGCTTCAAAACTTGTACTCTTCTCCAAGTACAATTAGAATGATCAAGTCAAGGAGGATGAGATGGGTAGGGCAAGTGGCACGAATGCGGGAGAAGAGGAATGCATATAGGATATTGGTGGCGAAAGCCAAAAGGAAAGAGACCACTAGGAAGACCAAGACGTAGGTGGGTGGACAATATTAAGATGGATTTCAGAGACATAGGATGGGATGTTGTGGGCTGGACTGATCTAGCTCAAGAGGGGGACCAGTTTAGGGCTCTTGTGAACACGAAAATTACTTTTCGGGTTTTATAATATGTTGGGAAATTTTTGAATAGCGGAGCGACTGGAGGCTTCTCAAGGTTTCAGCTTCATGGAGGGAGGTAGTTAGCCTACAGGAGGCCGGTCAGGTGAACTAACGCCTTGATGTCATGCTGTGGTGAGAAATAAAGTGTCCTGGCCCACACAGTTGTCGGTTCAATGTCTGACAGGCTTCATAATAACATAGAGAAGCAGTGGAGAGGACAGCTTAGTTAGTGCACTTGAGAACCCGGAGCCAGTAACATCTAGTGTAATCCACAGGGACAGGAGGGCACAGGCTGGGAGCCCTTGAGAGTGGAAACAAGGGTATGCTCGCGGGAATGGTACGTGATGCTCCAGTGATTCCATTAACACAAAATGTGCACTCATAAAAATGTAACGTGAGGCAGTTTCCTCCTGTAGCCACCCAAATAATAAAAAAGCATGGGATGTTTAATTTCACGTTGATAGAGGAAAGAGGCCCTCGAAGTAGCGCGCTCTACTCCACAGGGGTGTCCATTTGTAGCACCTCACACTTAATATTCTTTATTTGTTATGTTATGCTAAACTTCTTTCGAAACCTTCAGTTGAGAAGGGCCCTTGTCACCATGGCAAGACACATTTTGGGGTGTGTGGAGAAGACTGCCTCCAGGCATATGCATATATATGTTGAGAAAGGAGTGGCAGACATCTTACAAAGGATCTTTCAGCGTGGGGACTGAAAACAGAGCTAAAACCGTTTAAAGCAGAAATTATACGCTAGCGTAGTTGTTTGAGGCACTATGCAACAAGACGGAAGGCCGCCGATTCGATTTTTCAATTGACCTAATCCTTCCAGCCGCACTATGCCCCCGGGGTAGACTCAGCCTCTAACAGAAATGAGTACCAGGAATCTTCCTGGGGGGGGGTAAATGGTGGCTGGCGCGTAAGGCTGACAACTTCATCGCCATCTGTGAGCCGATTGTCTAGAAAACGTAGCAGCCTCGACGTCTCAGAAACCTATGGGCCTCCACGGCCTGTTACAGTGATAGCTTTCCCTTGACTTTAGGAAAATTTTGTCAAAATCTTGGAACGCGAGGCCTTATAACTTCTCAGGCGAAGAGTGAAGGGCGTGAAAATTGGCATTTTAAATAAAATGGATCTTTCAAAGATTGAATGAATGAATTGTACTTGAAAGAAACTGATTAAGATCCTATCCATTTTGGGTTTTGCTCTGAGCAGCGATTAACCTTCGGGCTCTACCACCAGGGTGTTTACACAGGATTCAAATTAAAATCAATACTCATTTCCAAGCTCTTATATAAGAAAATTAACTTCACGTAACGCCTCCATCATGCTTCCCTTTAAGCGTGTCAGACATATCGTCTTTTACATCTGTATAATCTGTTTATGTATGTAAGTTTCAACACAACATAGGCACACCTGTGTACCCTTCTGCCAACAGATCAACAGTTAATAACCGGTTCTTGTCCTACATCCAAGTCCGAAACCTGGCTTATAAATGGAAACTGACTTTCGAGCAATTGAAATGCTATCGTGCTGTTCCAGGGATTTAATCTGTTCTTCCATATCATTTTCATTACGTCACACTTGTAATATCTTTTATGTTTCGTACCTATTTTTCAAGTGTATGTGCTTGGGGCATTCTGTCATCTAGGGCTTAGGCGTTTTCAAAGCTTCTGTACTGTAACACGGCTGATGTGAGGTCCCAGTTATTAGCGTAATCATATGATATGTTTATAGTATAACAAGTTCTGGTGATTGGGGTTTTGTTGTCCCGGCTTTCACCCACCTAGGTCTTTTTACAGTGATGATAGCTGACAGTTAAGGAATTAGAAACAATTCACATATGTAGGATTAACTTATTTCTTGTGTACCATTTTAAATGGTGATTTGTAACGAAGAAAACTTGGGTTAAATATAAAGAGTTGTATTTTCTTTACTGTTTCATAAACCATGTCAATTTCTGATTAAATATCGTAGCAATAATTTGTTGTGTTGGACTCAAATAAACGAACCTTGAACGGACTTTTAAGACCTTCAAGAAACAAGTTATTCCCACTCTAATTCCAATTGCCCATATAAGGCCAATCTGAGTTATAATCATACAAATACTGTTCATGAGATCAAGAAAGAAATCACAATGGGCAAATTCTCTACTTTGTCATTAAGTGTCAGTGCTTACAGTTCGTCAGCATTAAGCTGCTGTACAAATATTATGTTTCTGGACATTATCCATTGTCTTGTTTATATTTCAAAACACAAGGTTTCGGAGACTGAATTCTCTCTCCGTTTTCAAGTAAAACATAGCCAGTTGGGCCCAATCGATAGGGCTAGTCTGTACCTCCGGACACTTATGCTAGAACCAAGGTAGGTTATAAAAGCCAAGCACAGCAAAAACCATCTGCGAGAGCTAAGACAAAAACAATAAAATATTAAAAACAAACTCTACACGTATGAGGCCTTGCTTCAGAGAACTGTCAAGATAGAAATCATTACTGCATAGATAAAATTCCCCGTATGGTACGAACACAAGAATAATAAGTTTTCCCACTGGTCGGAGTGTAGTTTTTTTGACTTGTGCTGTAATAACAGGAGTCCAGATTGGTGTAGAGTTTTTTAATATTTTAATGTTTTGTCATAGCTCTCGCAGATGGTTCATGCTGTGCTCGGCTTGTATATCCTATATTGGTGCTGGTACAGGCGTCCGGAGATAGGGACTAGCTCTATCAATTGGGCCCAACTGAGTAGGTTCCACATGAAGATGGAGACAGAATCCAGTCTCCGAAACGCTGTGTTTTGAAATATAAACATAACGATGGATAATGTCCAGAAATATAATATTTGTACTAATGTACCATCGTCACAGGCTTGTATATCTTATTAAGCTGCTGATCTTCTCCACAGTCTGATTTAAGTGTGTATCAAGCTATGCATGATGAATGCATACGATAGAATGAGCGAAATACGAGGAAGGAAAATATTATTTATATTTGTGAGCTTGTGCAAACTGTACTGTTTGCTCATGCAAGGACACCGTCAGAGTTCATTTGAGTAAACACGTGAATACATCACGTGTGACATGAAAATGACTGCGTGTGGTTAATTAAGTTCCATGTTACACAGAATATAGTATGTAAATTTTTAGCTAACTTGCTGTTACATGCTGGGTTTGGCAACGCTCTGATAACCTGACAATTGCTTTGCTTTAAATACACCGATGCTGTTAATTGCCTTTCTGAAACTCAAGATCAGTGAACTGTATATGACAACGGGTCACCTAACTCGTTATCAGACGCAATTCACACAATTCTAGATCAATAAAATTTTGAATTTGGCTAATAAATGTTTATCTGTGTATAGCTTAACACCACAGATTTTTTAAAATTGTTTTCTGAATCAGATTTAAAATTTTCTCCAAGTGAATCCAAATCCAGGGGCGTAAAATTCTTGAAGTGTTCAGGAAAGATCTCAAAACTTACACTTGAAATTTTGACTTGTTATTATTAATTTTCATTCCGCTAGTTTTAAGTATTGTGGAGAATTTGTTGCAGAAAATCTAACGATTAGTTTAACAGTTCGGACCCGACTTCAGTTCCACTGTTTGAGAGGAAATGCATTTTTGATATTAGAAACTTGCTTAAACCATTTTAATAGTAATAATAATAATAATAATAATAATAATACTTTAATATTTAACATTAAGTTGCATTTAAGAGAGAAATATATGTGTAAGAAATATGTAGCGTATTATTATAATTTTTATTAAATATTTAGGGATTTTTTGTTACTATTTTTTTTTATTGCTAGTGGGGTGGGACTCAATCCCTTGTACTGCGGCCACTTCTGGCCTATTGAACCAGCCCAAGATGATAAGTGAGGGTGATTGTGGAGCAATTGGTGGAATGAAGATTGGCAGGGGAAACCCAAGTACTCGGAGAAAACCTGCCCCAGCGCCATTTTGTCCACCAAAAATCCCACATGACCAGACCCGGGATCGAACCCGGGCCGCCGCGATGGGAAGAAGTTGTTTTGTTACTAAGTTTTGTTCCTGCAACTATCAAACAGTGTAGTGGGTTATTGTAAAACTCGATTACTAGCCCCCAAAATAAGCATTACATATCTCGCACCAAATGTATTTACGTGAATTACTACTGCGTTTCTGGACTTCGTCTATCGTCTAATATTCTGAGCAGAACTCTTCAGAATCAGTTTACCTGAAGGTCGTTAAATATATACATAGTCCGTCCCGTAATCAACCGAAGCCGTAACTTCGCCTTCTTCTTGGAATATGGTGGGTTCACACGTGAGCCATGTCTTGTAATGTACTGAACATACCTTGATCACAGAGTATTCCTCCCCAGTTCGTGTCACAGATGCATTGCCAGGAAGATCCGTTGCAGTAGCCATGCTTACAGCCTGGATATGGTGTGCACTGGTCACAGAACTCACCGCGCCATCCGGGACGGCACCTGGAACAACCGAACACTCATTTTCGAAGCGACTTTAAAAGATTTGGAGCTTTCAGGACGAATAAATGTGCAAAAATTGAAGTAACCCAAGACACATGGAACTGCCAGCTTTACCACATCTTTCATTCGGAGCACATCATTTAGAATCTGCCTGTTTAGACGGATTTCAAGAGACAAGAAATTGTCTTTCTAATCGGTGCGTCTGGAAAATGGAGGGCAAACACTGTTTGATTATTATTACAAACAGTATATAAGCATGGTAGAGGGAAGAAGGGAATATATTCATATGAAACTGTTAATTTGAGACTTCAGTAAAGTTCATTAAAGTTACATGCGTCCGTTTCCTTGATTTAACGACTAGTTAATTCTTGACGGCCTTTGATCTGTGTTTTGTTCATCTCTGCTGTAGCAGATTCAGCCCAGTCACTTAAAAAATTGATAAACGTGAATAGGATAAACCTGTAAACAAATTATAATTTCCCAACCGCTTATTTAATAAATCCTGACAATCTTCCGTAGGCCACCCAATGAAAACTTGACCTTCTGTTTTGTAAAGAAGTTCTGGGAAGAACTAATGGCGCCTAGTTTCTTCCATATACACGATGAGGCCAACAGCTATAAACTAATGAAATTTGGTGGTTCTTTCTGAGCTTAATGTCTGCTCGAGTAGATTACAACTACGAGTATATAGCCATAAAGGTTCGGCCACACAGAGCGCTACGCTATGTTCGCTACGTACGCTGTGTACACTCTGCGACGCAGCTAACATAGGGAACATAGTGTACGTAGCGTACGGAAGTCTCTGTGGCCAGTTACATTGGCAATAAAGGGAGATATTTTTCTGTTCGTATAGCGAACATAGCGTACGTAGCGCTCTGTGTGGCCGAACCTTAACCGTCGCCATATTTCTAATTCGTAAGTGGTAGAAAAGAAGTGTTTCATACACTTTGAGTTGGCATGTTATGATCCATTCATTTTCGTATAAACAACATGTCTAGCTCAAATAAGTCATTAGTTATCGCTATCAAACGAAATGATATGTAGTGTAGCTGTCATATTTTGCAAACCCCACACATAATAAAGGTTGCGAGATCTGTTACCACACAAAGCTTCATGCATGAAGCATATCTAGCGTGTCGCTCACCTCGGGAACTTAGCAGTTGCAATGGTGTTGTCGATAGCAGGAACGTAATCAGGTGGGTTTGTCTCCAGTAGAACGGTGTTCATACCAAGTTTCATGAAAATTTGTAGATTGGTTCAACAGGTATTACTGACACGAACGTATGACAAGCAGTCTGATTCAATAGAAATTATGTCATCTGCAAGTGTGAGCTTCTTAGCCGCTTCTCTCCTCAAACATCAAGCCGCCACTTTCTTGGCCTATCTGGATTACGTCTTCCTCTCTCGAGTTCTGTCTGATACATCCTCAGTCGACGTTCCAACCAATTTTATAGAAATACCAGCCTCTTCCTTGATTCTAAAGGGTTCTGTAGATGGTGCATAACAGTCGGGAATAATGGGTTTTTGGAACTTCGTCCATCATCCGGTATTCTACTCGTAAATAACACTAAAGAACAAACAATTTCGGAAACCGGGTCTGTTTCCGTCCTCAGACGAGGAGATGAAACACCTACTGTTCGAATTGCTGGGTTTTGGACTTTCTCCATCATCCGGTGTTCTAGAGAATAGGAAACACGACGTTTCGGAAACTGGATCTGTTTCCGTCTTCAGGTGAAGTGGGGGAGAAGACACCTACTCAGATGGGGTCCCTTAGAGAGAGAGCTAACCTCAATCACTGAGCTTAGCTCTTTCTAAGGGGCCCAACTGAGTAGGTGTCTTCTC